CGCAGCCACACTCATCACTCCACACGGACGAGGAGGAACGAACCGAAAAAGCGAGTGCAATGTGCCACTTCTAGACACAACTGAACAACTGAGTCACTGCGAACACGCCGACAATCCGTTGGTCCCAGACAGCACCCTCCCTACACGCCACAACTGAACAAAGCCCAGAGTCACCGTGAACGCCACAAACAAACAAAACCACTGACCCATCCAACTGTTGTGTTTCGTTTAAAGCCCAGTGCAGTTTATTTGTGAAAAAAGTTTGAGAATAGACCATTCAATGACAGTGCGTCTTATAATCCAGAGCGCCCTATAGTGCGGAAAATACGGTACATAATCAAGTAACCTGTCAGTTGATTTCATGGGGGGTTTAACATTCTGATCCCAAAACACGTCCCTTCTACATTCTGTCTGAATCCAGAAGGGTTTGGATTTGACAAAAAAAAATACTGAAAATTGAAAAATCTCTGTTCAAACTTGTAAACTCCTCTCAAAAATTATTTTATCATTCAAATATAAACATGGACTGTATATTTAAATGGACAGAGCCAACACACTAGTCACTACATTCCAAATAAGAAGTTTGCATGCGGCGCTTCTGGCTCCTTCTGATCCTGGCTCCCATTGATTTACACTGGAATACTGTCGCTCCTCTCTCTAGAACTGCTGCAGTGAGCCTCGTCATTTTGGTCTTAAAACTTTCGTATTAACCCGCTCTGTGTGATCCAACTGTTTATTTTTTATTTTTTGCTATTTTGTCTGTCGCGGCTGCGAGCTGCGGAGCACATCTGCGGCTGTAGTCTGCCCTGCATTGAAGATATTTACATCAGCAGGTGCAGGACAAAAGCCCACAGCATCATGGAAGACTCCACCCATCCAGCACATGGACTTTTTACAGCTCTCCCATCAGGCAGAAGATTGCGCCACCTACAGGCCAGGACCACGAGACTTACAGTTTTTATCCTGATGCCGTGAGACAGATTAATTCTGTCAGAAAAAACACTACAAAACAGCACTGACTTGGAACGCACTTTAGAAAATGGGGGCGGGTTGACATACAATATTTTTAACTATTTTATTCTTGTTATAACTATTTATTCTTATTATAACTATTTGTTCTTATTGTTATCTGTGCTGCTGTTGACCTGGACCTGAGTGCATTGTTTCGTTTCTGTGTATTTTTTATACTGGAATGACAAAAAAATTCTATTCTATTCTATTCTATTCATAATATGGAGCCTGCCTCCAAATTCACCCTTGTAACCGTTAGTATCGCGACCTTCATTTGAGTGGCGCTGAACGCTACGGGCAACGTCACACTCACTTAGTCCACTATATTATTCAAATGTTTCCCCCTTTTTTTACCCTTTTTTACTTGTTTGTTTTGACACCAAAGCGCCACGTGTCTCTCTGATTGGTTAATCCGCCTGTCAGTCTCGCCTGTCTAAAACTGAGGAGACAGATCCACGCGTCTTTTTAAAGTTTAGTCAAAGTGTGCGGATTTGGCTGGACAGATAATAATACTCTGCAGCTGCGATTTCTCCGGCAGTATTTCCATTTGAATAGATTTTATATCTAGTGAAGTGGCTGTTAAGGTTAGTAAAACGTGTATATAGATTTGATATTATTCCCCTTGAGGCTTCTGATTTCCATTTTTATTCTAATGCGCGGTAAATGCTTCAGGTTATGATGCGTCGAAGCTTTTACTTATGGATCATACACGTTTTTCAAGAGTTTAACCTTGAAATAGCAACTGTATTCAAAAGCACAAAAACAACTACAGATTCTTCTCCTGTTATGTCCATTTATATATGAAGTTTACATGTCTAACCGGCACTCTAAATAGGAAGTGAGCATGGGCGCACTTCCGGCTCCATCGACTCTGGCTCCAGTTCACTTTCTATTGAAAAAACTTCGCCCCTCTCTCTGTAACCGCTGCTGTCAGAATCGTCATTTTGGACTTAAAATGTTCGTATTAACCCGCTCTATTTTGTCCCTAAATCAGAATATGATCGTATAATCATATCGGACAAGTTATGTTTGATTGACAGCGTTGTTAAGTAGGGCTGCACCATTATGGAAAAAATCTTTATCACAATTAATTTGATATATATTGAAATCATGATTATTTTTTAGTTATACTGTGCATATATTCAGCATTTCTGTCTTAAAAAACACTTTGTTATTGATAATTTACACAAAACTTAAAATAAATATCGGCTACAAATATGAACCTTAGAGCAGTTTTGTGATGCATTAAACATAAAATGAATAAAATATACTTTGAATATGAAATAAGGCATAGAAAAACAAAATTGTATCCAAAATAAACTATATATCCAGCTGTTCTGCAGTCTCTGTATTTATAAATAAAATAAAGACACTTGTTTAGATAAAAAATGAGACAAAATAAACTTTATTAAGCTTTCACATTTCATCTTGATTATATGAGTTTGGAGATTGTTTGACACACAAATCGAATTCGCGATCAAAATTCGATTAATTGCACAGCCTTATTGTTAAGTGCCCGCTCCCTGCTGAACCAGGGGCGCGGGCGCAAAGGGTGGGGTTTCCTTCAACACCTTCGCTCTGGATTTGCTCTGTGGTTTACTATGATATTCACGGTCAAAATTCCAAATATAGAACTTGGCTCCGAATTCGCCTCTATAACTGCAGGTCTCAATGAGCTTCATTTGACTGGAGCCGAATGCTATGGGTGACGTTAGGCCTGTCACGTTAATTACTATATCGACTTACTTGTTCAGTCTATCGTGTATTGAAATACAAGTTGTTGGGGGTCAATATTTACAGTGAGTATTATTTATTTGTACAAGTGGGAAAATTTTGGTTATTTTTCTCCCACTATGATGAGATTTTAGCTGAAGTTGTCTGAATTATAAACTTCTATGACTCATTAGAGACTCAAACCAACTACTTAAATGTCATTCAATTCATTCTGTTATTGTACATTTAGAATAGTTTTGGGGTGATATTTCTGCTTTATGGTTTGGATTCAATATTGTCACTTATTGTATGTATTTAGTTTAACAATATATCGCACTTCAAAATTTGTGGTCAAGGCAAATCTACTGTATTTGTATAGGATGATTTAACCACGAAGTAATTCAAAGTGCTTTACAGAATAAGAAATACAGTAAAATCACCATACAAACAAATCAAAACATAAATAATCATCATAAAATCAAGATTAAAACAGCAGTTTTGAGCCTGGATTTAAATAATGGCCACGTTTACATGATGTTAAATACTTCGTAATTAAAATATTCTCCTTTGAGTTTAAAAACATGTTAAATTGCCTTTTTATTTAATTCTGCTCAGCGTCTGGGGGTGGGGAAAGGTTCTGATTGGACAGAAACACGAACGTATTTACATCGACCGGAAGAAAACACGCTTCAGCTGCTACCGGCTTTTCTGTGATCTCGGTTTGTTGTTACGCCACGGACACGAACACAATCCAAACTTTTTCGCAGTCGTTCTGATGGTAATTGGACAGCAGCTGGAGAATTCTCTCATCACGCTTTACGTCTGTCGGCTGAGGAGGAGAAGGGAAGAGTGTCGGAGAAGGGAGGAAGAAGACAAACTGAGTCAACGGCTGCTCTACCTCAGCCCACTCCCGCATTCCACTCGCAAATCCAAAGAGACGTGGATGAAAGTCCAAACCGAGGACTGGTGGAGCTGTATTGTCCGGATCGCATCAGAAGGGCGACCCAACAAGCATGCACTGAACGACTGGGATTATTCTTAAAAGAATAAACTTTTACATGATCGAGGAAGAAATGAATTCGGCTGTAAAACTGGAATAAACCACCCACTTACTACGGAATTAAGTTTTTGTTGTGTTTACATGGGGGCCTGGTCAAGCAGAAGTAAACAGCAAGGCCAAAAATTCAAGTTAATATATTCAAAAGATAGCATATGTACTCTAGTTTATGAAATTGTTTACCTTTTTTCTGTACCATTTTTGGTTCTGAAGTTCCATACGTTTTAAACAGACCATGTATGAAACATGGAACAAAAATTATTTCCCAAATTTGAAAGACCTGCAAATAATGTAAGTAAATTGATGCATTTCATCATATCTTGTGTTATTCCATCTTTGAACTGTTGATGAAAGTACATGATTTAAAAAAAAAAAAAAATATTTACAATGATAAAAATTTGCTTGGAAGGACAGACATATTTTATAGAAATAGTTTCCTTTCATTTTGAAGTAATATTAAAGTATTCGGAACAAAAAAGTTGACAAATTATGCAAAATCAAAAATGCACCTTCTAGTTTGCACTATTTTCCCTCCGTTACTTTTCCCTCCGTTACCATGACCTTTTTTAACAAAAAAAAAATCTCATTACTCAAAAAGTAAGAGGTTTTTCAACCTAATCTTGTACCATATGGTAAAAAACTATATGAAGCAAATATTCAAACCAGTTTGTTAAGGATATGTAAGTGAGAACCAAGAGTTATCACTGTTTGGATTTATTGCCCAAAAAGTGCTGCATGTTTCATTCCCTCCATTACCGACATTTAGTTTTTACATTTTTTGTCAACAACTTGAAAGAATATCACAGGTTTAACTTGACCCTGTTGGAGTGTAACTCTTTCCTACATTCTGACACTTTACTTATTTCAATAGTCCCTCTAATTTCTAAATAAGAGACATTTGAATGTAAAAAATCTGCCCCTGTTTCCCTCCGTTACCGTTTGACCGGACCCATGGTTTTTTAAAGCGGAATTCATTTTTATTCAGAATTAAATTATTTTCATTTGGATTTAAAGCTCTCATGTAAAAGTGGAAACTGTCAGAGCAGAGGCCTGTCTCATATGTTCAGAAAAACTGTTCTTGGTTTTAGCTGCATAAATCTGAAACACTGATTTCCCATGGCCTCGGTGACGTAACATTCCCTCATTCCACTTCTTGATAAAGTCTGTGCTTGTTACTCCTTCTGCTTGACAACAGCGTTCTTCTTCTTCTGTCCTGCAGTTATGGGCCATGTGATTAGCACGGGGCTGGAGCTCGTCGGCACCACCACCTCCCCCCGTCTGAACGAGCGTCTCTCCAGCGCCGTGAAGAGGACGGTGGAGCTCGCCAACAGCCAAGACATCAGTCCCCGGGAGAGGCTCCACGTCAAGGCCATGCAGCTGTTTTCTCAAGGGTAAAAAACCAGTGAGAAATCTGTGCTGAAAATGGTGCAACCAGCTCTGCCCAGTGGAGCTGCCTTAGTTAAGACACAGTGACAGCAGTTACATGTGCTCACGAAATCGGAGTAATATCAGATTTTTATTTTTTTATATGATGATTTAAAGGTGCATTGTGTGACTTTTCTGGTGTAGTTATTATTTCTTTGTCTGGAATGTTTCACAGTGTGGCATTAAACCTTCATATCTACATGGAGACCAAACCAGACCAGGTTACAGGTCAGATCTGTGGAGAGGCGACCTCGCTCAGAGTCAGAATGCCTGTTTTTGTAGGTATTTTTGAGCTATAAAACCTCCTGTAATTGAATAAATGTAAGGTGGAGCTGTTTAATGTCACATTGTGGAACATTCTAAGCAGAGCAATGACATATCCATAGAAACAAGCAGGTAACAGCCCTTCAACCGAAAAGTTACACAGTGCACTTTTAAATTTGCCAAGCCTGCGCCACCTAGTGCCTCCGCTCAATGTCATTTTTCTCAAGCGACTAGGTCAGGAATCGGATTACACAAGACGGTTCGCAAAAAACCCAGAAATGCAGGTTTGGGCACCAGCCAATCAGCGAAGAGACAGACATTCTGTGTTGGCAACGATTCCTGAGATCGAGGATTTAAAGCCGGAATAAAGAGAATGTTTGGTGAATTTTATCAAGGGGAAAGATGTTATTGCCCTTCTTCCTATGTGATTTGGGAAAAGCTTAAAATCCCAGTTATCTCTGTTAGCCGCACATTACATACGACATGACCAAATAGCAGCAGCACCAAATAGCTGTCGAGCGAATGAATCCTAAAGTTGTGAGGTCAGACGGTTTCCGCAAAGTGAAACCTGCTGATGAATCAGGCTACTTTTAAAAAGCATGTAAAGAGTAAAATCATCTTATTTCTTTTTGATGATGGTTCCTTTCATTAGTCACATTAGATTTAGCAGTTTACGTGTCATTTAAAGGTCCTATATTACTCAAAATTGACTCTTGTGAGCTTTAAATCATGTTAGAACATTGTTACTTCATCGAATATTTACAAAACATACCCGGAGTTGTTTTGTTTCATTCACATATGTTTGCCAGGGTTCCCACGGTCATGGAAATCCTGGAAAAGTCACTGAATTTTAGCATCTCTTTCAGACAACTACAGCATTCTGTTAAGCTGGCTATTGGGCTATTATGATTATTTCTGAACGTCTGTGACTTTTGTTTAAAAGAGACAATAAATGCACTGACAGGATTTTGAATGTTAAAAAATCATAATCCCAAACCATAAGGTGAGTGGAAAGAGTTAACATTTCATATTTAAACCTAAAAGTCTGATCAATTCTACACATGTAGGTGTCATAAAGTGAATTTTCCATGACTTTAGGTCATGAAAAAGTCATGGAAAAGTTTAGAAATTTTGTCAATGAAAAAGAGTGAGAACTCTTGCATAATCCTCAGACTCAGATTGCTTTGTTCCACCTTGTGATGTCATGTAGTGGTAGTTTTCAAGACTACAACACCTACCTTTTACCATTAGTTCAGTGGAGATGAAATCATCCAAATGATTCTAGTGAAGATATATAGGGTTTAAAAACACACTGGAGCACTTCCTGTATTACCACATGACATCACAAGTTGGAACAGAGTGTTTTATGTTTGAGGGTTGCAGGGTTTGTGTGTTAAACATGTGCGAACGAAACAAAACACAACTCCGGGTCTGTTTTTGATGAGGAAACAACAAACATTACAACACTGATCAGAAAATAGCGAAATATGAGCCCTTTTAAACAATAATGGGCCTAAGTAATGACATTACTATCATAAAACCACACAGGAGTTGCGCAATTAAAGTCACAATATAACTTAATTTAAAAGTAGATTCACTCTTTATTTAAAAAAATCCTCATTTCATGCCTCTTGTTTTATGTAAAGTACTCGTTATATTCACAAAGGCCGTGATAATCCAAGCGAAGAGAAGCGTTCAATGCATTTTCTCCTGATTTCTCTCTTTGCCGATCCTCATAAGATGCAGGCACCAAATCAACTCTTTTATATGTCGCAAACAAGGAAGCCATTTTTATATCTGTTTTTATTTCCCTGTGGTCTATACTACATTAGTAAAAAAGAAATGTCTGCCATCTGTTGTATGAGCCTCTTTAATTTCTCAGAGTAAAGCAGCTCGAAGTTTCGCTGACTTTTCCTGCTCCTTTTCTTGCTTCCTCTCACTTCTGCTCAAACTGCCTGACCCTGAAATTGCCAATCTCTACTGAACTAAACTTTAAAGGAAGCTGCTCGCATGAAAACTACCACTTTATGACATCACAAGGTGGACCAGAGCAGTTTGAGCTTTGAAGATGTACACAGACTAATAATAAAGTCTTACTCAAACGTGTGCGAATGGCAAAAAACACAACTCCAGCTCTGTTTTTGAGGAAGTAACAACATTCTAACATGGTTTAAAGCTCACAAGAGTCAATTTTGCGCAATATAGGACATAAGGTAAAGGTCCAGGTTTAATTCAAAGTGCTTTACAGAATAAGGAATACATTATAATCACCATACAAACAAATGAAAACATGAATAATCATCTTAAAATCAACATTAAAAGAGAAAAAATAAGAGTGCAGAATGAAAACCTTTCAGCCCTGTACAGCTAAACACAACAGTTTTGTTCCTGGATTTAAACTGTGGCCACGTTTACATGATGTTTTTAATTACAAATTAATTGTTCTGAACTAAATTGTTTGAAATTTAAATATTCTCCTTCGAGTTTACAAAGAAATAATAATTGAGTTTTAAGTCGCCTTTATTTAATTCCGCTCAACGTCTGGGGGTGGGGAAGAGTTCTGATTGGACAGACACACGAACGTATTTACATCGACTGGAAGAAAACGCACACTTCAGCTGCTACCGGCTTTTTTGTCATCTCGGTTTGTTGTTATGCCATTAAAACATGACTTAAAGCTCACAAGAGTCAATTTTGCTTAAAGGTTGTATAGAGGATTTTTTAAGGGAAGCGAAATACAGCGACCGTCCTTTTTCAAATGTTGTGCATGTGTGACACCACCTTCCTCAGTAGAAACATCTCCTCCTCCCGCCTCTTTACTCTAGAAATCACATTTGTTTACATCCAATGCATGTTCAGAATCACTGTTGAAGTGACCTGCCTAGAAATATTTTAGCGACCGACGCGTCAGTTTTTAGACCCTTCGGACTTTCTTTCGCGGCGAACTGGTCAGGAACTTTGTGCGAATTGCAAGGAAGCTACAGTTTGAAAAAGCGTCAAAGAACCGCCGCATAAACCACATAATTCCCCGAGCGCCGACACTAAAAATGTAGGGAGTTTGACTGACAACCTAACAGCCAATAGAAAAAGAGGGAGCCTCGTTTTCTATTGGCTGATGTTTATCTGGCCTCACTACGTCCACAACTAATAGATTTTCATTCTTTCTTTTTTTTAAATCATAATTACAAGGCTGCTGCGTCTCTGTAATGGTATTTTAAACTTTCAATGACAATTTGAAACAAAAAAAAAATCCTCCATACAACCTTTAATGTAGGACATAAGGTAAAGGTCTAGGTTTAATTAAAGGTTTTAAAGGTCCAGAAATCAGATTTTAATCAGATTTTGAGTGATTTTCAAATCGCTGAATGTGATGTCAACAGCCACTTTTTATTATAGATAACATTGTATTTTGCCATTAAAAAATCTAAAAGATAAATTCAAAACTGTTGGACTCTAAATTTTTCTGTACTTCAAGCTGCTTTAATTTCTCATAGTCAAGCAGTTTGAAGTTTGGCTGACTTTTCCTGCTCCTTTTCTTGCTTCCTCTCAATTCTTCTCAAAACTACCTGACCGTGAAATGGTGAATATCTACTAATCTAAACACTAAAGGTAGCTGTTCACATGAAAACTACCACTTTATGACATCACAAGTTGGACCAGAGCATTTTGAGCTTTGGAGATGTAGACAGACTAATAATAAAGGATTACTCTGACATGTGAGTGAAACAAAACACAACTCTAGGTCTGTTTTAGATGAAGTAACAACATTATAACATGGTTTAAAGCTCAAAAGAGCAAATTTTGCATAACATAGGACCTAAGGTAAAGGTGTAGGTTTAGTTAAAGGTTTTAAGGGTTCAGAAATCAGATTATAATCAGATTTTGGCAGATTTTTAGATGCCTGAATGTGATGTCAAGAGCCAGTTTGTATTATAGAGGTGCATTAAAGGTGTATTAAAGGTTCACTGTGTAACTTTTTGGTTGGGGGTCCGTCACCTGCTTGTTTCTATGAAAATGTTATTGCTCTGTCTGGAATGTCCCACAGTGTATGACATTAAACAGCTCTGTTTTACATTTATTCAATTACAGGTGGTTTTATAGCTCAACGATATCTGAGTCTCACGATACGATATCGTCACTGTATGAACCTCACGGTACGATATTAATTACGATACTTTGGGACAGCTCATGATTAGGAATGCAACGATATCCTAATCTCTCGTTATGATATTTGCAATTTTTTCCTCTTAAAATGCCTTGACAAGACTTAATCCAAAGAACTAAGACTTAAAAGTGCTTGAAACTGTTATTTCTTCTTGTAGTCTGCACTGAAATGGAGCAAAGGATCATGGTCTATGTAGTTCCCTCTGTCTTTTTTTTTTTTTTAGCTATTGCTGCATCATAACTCTTAATTTAAACAAAGAGACTTGTAATTCGATATATCATGATGGTCCACGATGATATTGTGAGAACTTTGACGATACGATATCACAGTATTTCGGTTATTGTTGCATACCTAACTGTGAAATATTCCAGACAAAGCAATAACATCTCCATGGAGAAAAGCATTTGACAGACCCACCAACAGAAAAGTTACAAAATGCATCTTTAAAAATCAAAAAGATAAATTCATCACTATTATTGACTAGACTCTGAATTTTGCTTTAATTTCTCATAGTCAGGCAGCTTTGAAGTTTCTGACTTTTCCTGCTCCTTTTCTCGATTCCTCTCAGTTCTTTTCAAAACTCCCTGACCTTGACTGTGCCCTGTGTTACTGTAGGAACTTCTCCAAAGCCTGTGATGCCTGGGAAGACATTCTGCTGGATCATCCCACAGACCTGCTGGCACTCAAGTTTGCCCACGACGCCTACTTCTACATGGGCGCTCAGACTCCTATGAGAGACTCTGTGGCCCGGGTACTGCCCCACTGGAAACCACACATGCCCATGTCCAGGTACAAGGATGAGGAGAACACTTTGAAAATCTTTTTAGTTACACAATATTGAATACTCAAATTAAAAAGTGTCATGTATTCTATTGTATTATATTATAGAGAGTGTTGGGAAGGTTACATTTAAAATGTATTCCCCTACAAATGACAGATTACACATCCCAAAATGTAGTTTGTAACGTAATCCATTAAGTTACTTAAAGTTAGTAACGTAATCTGAATACTTTGGATTACTTGATTTGCTGTAGAGAAGCAAAGACGAGGAAATCTTCATCATAAGATGTTTTGTCGGCTAAAAGAAAATAAAAAGCCCAGACTTTACTGAACCAAATTAAAAATATTATTGATTGAAAAGGAGGAGACGTGGTCTGTGCAGCATGGTTTAGTCCTGTTAAATCCTGTTTGAGTCCTGGTTTAGTCCTGGTTTGGACCTGGGTTTAGTCCTGGTTTAAACCTAGTTTAGTCGTGGTTTGACCTGGTTTTAGTCCTGGTTTAGACCAGGTTTGGACCTGGTTTTAGTCCTGGTTTTAGACCTGGTTTAGTCCTGGTTTAGTGTCCGGCAATGAGTGGAATTACTGGGAAAAAAAAAAAAAGGATATAGCCCAAAATATGAACAGGAAAATACCGCTGTGTAATCCATTTATTTCAGCAGAGTAACTGTAATCCAATTACCACTCATTGAAACAGTAACTGTAACCGAATACAGTTTCTCATAATTTGTACTCTGATTACGTAACTCTGGTACATGTAATCTGTTGCTCCCCAACACTGATTATAGAGTGAGAACATAAAAATTCCAATTCCAAACATGACATAAAAACAAAGATCTGTTTTTTTTTTTTTTTTCCAAAGTAGTACAAAACCAAAATGACATGATAAAAGGAATACCTGACAGCACTTTATTTTAAGAAAGTAACATTATCTTGAGTACCACCAAATGAAAGAGTAACTGTACCAGAATACTAATACAGGTACTCAAAATCAGTATTCAGATTACACATTACTAGTACATGTATTTAGTTACTTCCATAAACTGTATAAAGAAGTGAACTAAGGAGGTATGAAGTCACACTCTTTAAAATATAGGAGACCAGGATATTACAGCATAGTAATACATAATTATTATCAGAAACATGAATGGGGTACGGTGGAGTAACCGTTTTTTCTTGTATGCTTTTTTAAAGATAAAAGTGGCTTTTCCCACTGCAAGCTCTCTGTGTCTGTTTCGGATTGACTGTGCAGTATAACTTAGTGGTGTATTCAAGACCGCACTAGAGACCAAGACTTGTCCGAGACCACAGGGTCCTGAGACGAAGACCGGGCCAAGACCTCTGAGGGTCGAGACAGAGACAAGACTAAGACCACGGTCCCTCAAGACCAAATCGAGGCCATCTTTGTCATTTCCTACATTTATTTGTATTTTACAGTTATTTTGGCACAAAATATATCAGTGTTTTTATAAATCTATCTCTATTTTATCTGATTAATGTTCATTTAGGCTTAAAATAAGCGAAGAAAACTGTACGACACATAAATATTCTACGCCCCGTTTTTGGACCCTCACCCACAGTTTCGGAACCACTTCTTTAAGAGAACTTCCACTGGCACTTTACAGAAAACTGTGGAAAAAGTGAATAAAGTGGATTTTTTTTCACGTTCATAACTTTTACAGTTGCATTATCTTACTGGTTTTGCAGTGATATTTAGCCTCTCCACATTTACCCGCTGTGATGAAATATAATCGCACTCGTCAAGTGTCAGACCTCGAGTCCGAGACAAGACCGAGACCAAGTGCCATCAAGGCCGTAAAAAAGCGCTCTCGAGGCTGGTCTTGAGATCGAAAAGTCTTGAGTACTACGACACTATTGTAACCCCACCCCTGCTTCACTTCACCTTCAGAAAAAAACGTTCTAAAGCCGTCTTGTGAACATACGTGAACATTCAGGCATGTGAATACTTGCAAAGCGAGAGAGAGAGATGGAAGCTCGTTAGATTTAAACATATCACGGTTAAAAAACAGAATCAAGTTTAATCAAGTCATTATATGGGAAGTTCTACCATGTATTTCATGAATGTGTTTAACTTACATGTACACAGTGACACACCTCATATTAATACTTACCCTGTGTGAATGTGGTGTCTGAGTGAGTGATGGGTGGGGGTCACAGGGCGCAGATCGTCAGCCTCACCTCTGTCTGTCTAGAATCGCTTTGGAGAGTCAGAGTTTGTGGAGCTGACAGTGATGTGCCGCAGAATCCTGTGGAGGGTAATTCCTCTCACAGCAGGAGGCCTCGAGCTTTAACCGCCACTGACACTTGCCCTTTATGGTCACCAACTTAAAAGTCCAAGAATAAATGTGCTCGTATTTAAGTTACAGCGAAGGTCAGTTTTATTATCTGGATGTGTTTAAAGTTTTTATATTACTCAATTTTCTATCTGTTTTAATGTTGTTTCCTCGTCACAAACAGACCTGGAGTTGTGTTTTGTTTCATTCACACATGTTTGACACACAAACCCCGCTGAGTTCTTCTCTCAAACTGTGATTTTTAAACTCCATACGCCTTCACTAGAATTGGAGTGTGAATCCGGCTGAGTTTTTTTAGTCCGAGCCTGCGTTTGACAGAGCAGTGATCGAATCCAACCCAAGCCCGATAGGCATTAAGATATGTGTCCGAGTCCAACCGAGCCCGACACATTTAAAATCACAGGATTTTCATAAACCTTCTAATGACACAAGGAGGATATTGTTTGTCTTCCTCTAGCAGACACAGAGGCGCAAAATACAAACTCAGGATATAGCGAAAATAATGAGAAGACTGTTACTCACCTCTCGTAAAGTGGTAAATTTAAAGTGCAGCGTCTCATCCATTTTATCCATAGAAATTGTCCTCCACAAATAATGACATCTAGTCCACAAAACTGCCCAATTAATCCAGTTTGAGACATTCTTTAAAAGTAAAAAGGTGAGAGTAGTTCCTCACGTGTGTCTGTTTACATCCACACAGCGCACATATGGAGGTGAAATTACAAACTCTACTTCCTGTTGACTTTATCACCAATCTTTTTTGCTTTACAAATCATGTATCTGAAGTATTGCACCACATTTCACAAATAATAATAGCACAGTTTTGACTTGTATCTAAACTAGAAGTTCAGTGCTCTGATCTTTTCAACACTTAGAGTCTCAAAGTGAGTATAGATAAGAAACAGCTGACGTGATGTGTCCGAATCTGACCTGAGCCCAAAGATAAATTCTAAATATTTGTCCGACCGAGCCCGTCAGGTTCCGATGGGTCATGTCAGACTTTGGTTAGGTTTCCATTAGAGCTGGGTATCATTAAGAAGTTGTCGATGCGACACGTATGTTGATACATAGGCCACGATACGATACATATCTTGATACATAGGCCACGATACGATACATATCTCGATACATAGGCCACGATACGATACATATCTTGATACATAGGCCACGATACGATACATATCTTGATACATAGGCCACGATACGATACATATCTTGATACATAGGCCACGATACGATACATATCTTGATACATAGGCCACGATACGATACATATCTTGATACATAGGCCACGATACGATACATATCTTGATACATAGGCCACGATATGATACATACCTCGATACATAGGCCACGATATGATACATATCTTGATACATAGGCCACGATACGATACATATCTGATACATAGGCCACGATACGATACATATCTTGATACATAGGCCACGATACGATACATATCTTGATACATAGGCCACGATACGATACATATCTTGATACATAGGCCACGATACGATACATATCTTGATACATAGGCCACGATACGATACATGACTTGATACATAGGTAACAATACAATACATACCTCGATACATAGGCCACGATACGATACATACCTACGATACATAGGTAACAATACAATACATACCTCGATACATAGGCCACGATACGATACATATCTTGATACATAGGCCACGATATGATACATATCTTGATACATAGGCCACGATATGATACATACCTCGATACATAGGCCACGATACGATACATATCTTGATACATAGGCCACGATACGATACATATCTTGATACATAGGCCACGATACATACATACTCGATACATAGGCAATACAATACATACCTCGATACATAGGCCACGATACATAGATACATATAACAATACAATACATACCTCGATACATAGGCCACGATACGATACATATCGATACATAGGCCACGATACGATACATACCTCGATACATAGGCCACGATACGATACATATCTACACTTTCGGTTCAATACGATACATTTCAAAATGATTCGATATGGTTCAATAAAAATAATGTCTATCGATACTATATTGATACTGTATCATCACATTAAATGATCCGATATATTGATATTTCAATATTTTTGCACACCCCTAGTTTCCATTATTTGGATTATTGGATTTGAATTGGATTATTTCAGCCCTGCAATTGACAATCTCTTCTGAACTAGAGGTAAAAGGAGCTGTTCACTTGAAAACTACGGCTTTATGAAGGTGGAACAGAGCGTTTTGAAATTTGGAGATAGATGGACTGATCATAAAGGATTATTCAAACATGTGTGAATGAAACAAAACACAACTTCAGGTCTGTTTTTTTGAGGAGGTAACAGCATTATAACATGGCTAAAAGCTCAAAAAGATCAAATTTTTGCCAAATACGCGACCTTTTAAATGTTGCAGACTCTGTTGAAATCAATTCAGGCGAACAGCAATAGTTTAGTTTTATGTACTAGTTTATTCTTGGTGTTTGACTTATGGTGCATTTCCATATAATCTTTTCTTGCAAGGTCAGTGTGGTGCGTTATCTCCGGGGCCAGTGCGCTTTTTCCTCTCAGTAAATGTGATAATGTGTAAAGTCTCTTGTGTTTGTCTTGTGGTCAGTTATCTGAAAGGGCTGTATGCATTTGGTCTCCTGGAAACGCGCTTCTACGACCAGGCTGAGAAAGTGGCTCTAGAGGTGAGATTTTTTATGTTGTGTCTCCGTGTTTATACTCACTGCTCAAAAAATTAAATGAAGACTTTGAAAACACATCAGTTCTCAATGGGGGAAAAAAAAAATCTGTTGGCTATTTTTAGAAATGGAGAGGGCAATGTGTTAGGAACAAAAGGATGTCACCGCTTTTAATGGAAATGAACAACACGTGCACTAATGGCACCAATTAGACAACCCCTGAAACAAGACTGGTTTTACATGTGGAGGTCATTTCAAGTTTCTCCCTCTTGGTCTTTTTTGGCTTGTTTTTCACTGGTGCTGCTTTGGCTGGAGCGATTATCACCACTGGGAGTATGAGGCCATTCCTTACAATTACAGAAGCTGTACAGATTGCCCAAATTCTCCAGGATGGCACATCTGGACGTGCCAAGATTTAATGTGAAAAATGACATTTCCATTAAAAGAGGTGGCTGTTTTTTTTTTTTTTTCACATTGAGATCTGATAATTCTGGAGTATTTCACATATGAGGCTACGTTTACACTGAATCGAATCACCGTATCGGAAACGATCTGCTTTTTTGTTTCCGCAAGCCTTCCCTATCCACACAGCTTTGAGCGTATTTGTTTACGTTTTACAGAAGCGAAACTTAAAACTGCATGGCTCATTTGCATAAACTAAGTGCTTAAGAACAGCTCGATCCTTGTGCGTTGATGCGGTTCAGCTTCTGTCGGACTAAAGGACACGACTCAGTGGAATATGAGTGTTCTTTCTGTGACAGAGGGGTGTTCTGCTGATGGTGAGTCTGTTCTGCGCTTCTATCGCGTTGGAGATGGTTCATGTTAAACTTTTCAGAGATTATACGTCTGCAGGTCGTACACATAGACCGTATATATGAATGGACATATATTAGAGCGTCTTAGCATTTTGGCAGTGAATTACTTCGCGGTGCATAGACCTACATCAGCATATTAACATTTTCAGACGTCCACACAGTGCCAGATCAGATCTGTACTCAGATGAATTTGTAGGAGCTGGCGGCACCAGATCGTTCAGTCTCTGGAGCCGTTTTCAATCAGATTAGTGTGGACGAACACTGCATCCACAACAAAAATACTCGAATACATACTAGTGTAGACGGGCCCTACGTATAAGTTTAGATATAGATCTGGAATGTGTTTGTACAGTACCGTATTTTTCGGACTATAAGTTACTCCTGTGTATAAGTCGCACCAGTCAAAAATAATGCATAATGAAGAAGGAAAAAAACATAAGTCGAACTGAACTATAAGTCGCACTTTTTCGGTTAAATGTATGTTATAAAATCAGAGACCAGGAATCAACATTTGATCTTGAAAGTCAAGTTCTAGTAATAACAATAGAAAAGAGAACAACAGACTGTTAACGTCACATATGAACAGTTCTTCAGATAAACTATAACAAAACAACAGAACAGAACAAGTTTAACAAACTCTCCATCTCACTCCAAATCACTAAATCTATCGAATTCTTCATCCTCGGTGTCACTTCTGGGCAACTTGGCCTCGGCCTCCAGAGGTAAACAGAGCGCCGCTTCCTCTTCTGTGTAGCTGTTGTCAGACAGGAAGGTTTCAGGCTTTGTCCATCCATCCAGTGACTTCCAGGAAAGTTTCATGGTGCATCCTCCCAGTGTCACAAGTTTCTCTCTTACTCCAAACTTTCTTTCTGCTGCTCAATTACCATTTTCGGTTGCAGATTTCACTACTTGCAGCAGTACAGCACCCTAATGTAACAGATAATACTCCCTACAACTGTACAACAACTCACCCTTACGTAACAGATAATACTCCCTACAACTGTACAACTCACTAGCTCGGATGAAAGTCTAACAAGCCTCAAAAATCGCAGTGCTTGAAGTTAGTATCACACCCCCAGAGTCTGTTGATGACACCGACTGCAAAATATCAACAAGAAGTGTATGTTAACATGTCTTTCTTTTAGCTAATGGCCTCTATACTTCGTTTTTCTGGCTGGTACGTTTTAAAGAGCTGGTGTGGGCTGACTCATAATGGCCAAATGTGCTCCTCTGAACAACATAAGAAGAGCCCATCATAGGACAAAATGAAAGGCAGTATCTTGGAGAGTTAAGCAATCATTTCTAAAGAGCCATTCTGCGGGCGCTATGAAGGCAGCCTGTGTTTTTTCGCGGCGGCGGCGGCGGCTGTATTCATGTCGGCTCTTTGGCTCTTTGCAGGGTCTCTCTCTGGTTCCCGATGACGCCTGGGCGGTCCACGCTGTAGCTCACGTCTGCGAGATGAAAGCAGAAGTGGATAAAGGACTCAAATTTATGGAGGACAGAGAGAATGACTGGCAGGTGGATGACATTTACTGTATTTGTATCTTTTTTTGTTTGTGTGTGTGTGTGTGTGTGTGTGTGTGTGTGTTGTGTTGCATGGTCTTATTCGCTTCGGTTTCGCTTCTGTTGTATTAAAAGTTCAATATTACAGTGGTCCTCAACCTTTTTTGCGCCACGGACCGGTTTTATGTAGGGGAGGAGATGGGGTCTGTGCAGCATGGTTTAGTCCTGGTTTTAGACCTGGTTTAGACTTGGTTTAGACCTGAGTTAGACCTTGTTCAGATGTGGTTTAAACCTGGTTTTTGTCCAGATTTAGTTCTGATTTTAGACCTGGTTTAGTCCTGGTTTAGTCCTGATTTTAGACCTGGTTTAGTCCTATTTTAGTCCTGATTTTAGACCTGGTTTAGTCCTATTTTAGTCCTGATTTTAGACCTGGTTTAGTCCTATTTTAGTCCTGATTTTAGACCTGGTTTAGTCCTGGTTTAGTCCTGATATTAGACCTGGTTTAGTCCTATTTTAGTCCTGATTTTAGACCTGGTTTAGGGGAGGAGACGGGGTCTGTGGTTTAAACCTGGTTTTAGTCCAGATTTAGTTCTGATTTTAGACCTTGTTTAGTCCTGGTTTAGTCCTGATTTTAGACCTGGTTTAGTCCTATTTTAGTCCTGATTTTAGACCTGGTTTAGTCCTGATTTTAGACCTGGTTTAGTCCTATTTTAGTCCTTGATTTTAGACCTGGTTTAGTCCTATTTTAGTCTTGATTTTAGACCTGGTTTAGTCCTGGTTTTAACCTGGTTTTAGTTCTGATTTTAGTCCAGATTATAGTCCTGAGTTTAGTCCTGATTTTAGACTTGATTTAGACCTGGTTTAATCCTGAGTTTAGACCTGGTTTAGTCCTGATTTTAGCCCTGGTTTAGTCCTCAGTTTAGACCTGGTTTAGTCCTGGATTTAGACCTGGTTTAGACCTAGTTTAGACCTGGTTTTAGTCCTGATTTTAGTGCTAGTTTTAGACCTGGTTTTATCCCTGATTTTAGGACTTAATTTATGCGTTGGTTTAGTCCTGACTTTAGTCCTGACTTTAGTCCTGACTTTAGTCCTGGTTTAGTCCTGGTTTAGACGCGATCCACACGGAGTACGCAAGAAAGTCCGAGACCCGGTGGTTGGGAACCCCTGCTGTATTACACAAAATTTGCCATGTTAGAATGTTGCTACCTCCTGAAAACACTGTTTTGTTTTGTTTCATTCACACAGGTCTGAGTAAATCTGTCTACATCTCCAAATCTGAAAATGGTCTGTTCCACCTTGTGATGTCACGAAGCTGTTGTTTTCAAGTTAACAGCTACTTTTTACCTTTAGTTCAGCAGAGATTGGCAAGTCCAGGGCTGAAACTATCCAAATGATTCTAGTGAAGATGTATGGAGTTTAAAAATCCAGCTATTACCACATGACATCACAAGGTGGAACATAGTTTTCTGTTTGAGAGAAGAACTAAATTCTCCGGGTTTGTGTGTTAAACATGTGTTTGAATGAAACAAAACACAACTCCAGGTCTGTTTGTGATGAGGAAACAACTTTATAACGCACATTAGATCAGAAAATGGCTTAATACAGCGCTTTAACTTTGCTCATCGTGGGGATATCTGTGTGAAATTTGTGTTTATTTAATTCCAGGTTTCTGAAATGCTGGCCAGTCACAACTATTGGCACTGGGCTCTATACTTCATCGAAAAGGTAAAAGATTTTAATGAGTTTTCTCGGTCATGCGCAGAGAGGACGGTAGAGTGCCTATTCATTCATGATATCCTCACCCTTGGGTAATTTAAAGTCTAGAGTTGATTACATTGCGAGATTAATTTGTGTTTGTGTCGGCGGGACCCAGTTTATCAGAAGAGTCTATCTCTCCAATCTGACGTTACTCAAATTGTTGTGTGTCACGTTCTCTCGGTCCACAGGGAGACTACGACGCCGCGCTGCACATATATGACTCTCAGGTCAGTCTCATGTCGCCTCTTTTCACTCTTGTACAGCTGCTCTTTTTTTTTTTTCCTTCACTCCGTCCTTCAGTATAGGTATTTTTGTTAGTTAATACTCCCTACAACTGTACAATGATTCAACTTTATGTAACAGATAATACTCCCTACAACTCACACTTATGCAACACATTTTACTTCCTAGAACTGTGCAATAACTCACTCTTATGTAACAGATAATACTCCCTACAACTGTACAACTTACCTTAATGTAACAGATAATACTCCCTACGACTGTACAACAACTCACCCTTATGTAACAGATAATACTCCCTACAACTACAATTGTACAACAGCTCACCTTCATGTAACAGATAATACTCCCTACAACTGTACAACAACTCACCCTAAAGTAATGGAAAATACTCCCTACAAATGTACAACTCACCTTAATGTAACAGATAATACTCCCTACAACTGCATAACAAGTCACCCTTTTGTAACAGATAATACTCCCTACAAATGTAGAAAAATGTTGTATTACTTATTTTCTATTTTATTTATACTTGTACATATACATTTATATAATTATGTCTTATTTGACACCTGTCTCTTATGTTTGCTCCTTATTTAGAATTTATTATCACCATTTATATATTTTTTCTCTTTGTTATTGTATTATATTGTGATGTGTGAGTTTCTGTGTCCAAATCATTTCCCTTGTGGATCAATAAACTTTGTCTGAAGGCGGCCACAAACTACAGGAGATTTTGGCTGTGATTTGTGGAGATTTTTGCTGTGATTTGAGGCGTGACCCGACTTTGATCTTTTGAACGCTTAAGCCAGTCTTGTGAGATTTTTCTCCTCATATTTTTACCTTTGCCTTGGATAAAATGGGATTAACTTAGCTGAGTAACTCCTCTTGAGAAGTGTAATACCAAAAAAGCAGTGCTACTATGACAGCAAAACTCTAGAATTAAATAAAGCAAAAATTGGGAACTGAATGGCACAATTTATTTTTTAAAATGTTATCAAAATCTCATCTTGTCTCAATCTCATGGACCAAATTTCATGTCTCGTCTCATGGAAATTGTCTCCTCCCATCCCTAACAAATCCACATCTATCCCTGCTCGGGCTGTGCAAAAATATTGAAATATCGATATACTGAATCGTTTAATATTTATGATACAATATCGATATCATGGGCTGCTCTATCGATATATCGCCAAGAGTATTTTTTGGTATATTTTACTAAATTATTTTGTTACACCGCTACATTTTTGTTGTTTGTTCAGAGGAAGGAAACTCATTTATGCGACATATTTGATATTTTCACCGCTTTTGACGATTAAAATGTTTGTGTTTCATATTTACTTTGGACAAGAAGTGGTTTAACAAAGACTTTTAGTATCATAGCCATGATTTAGTCTTTATTTTTACTGAACTGCATCAAATCGATTTGAAATATATCGTATTGAATCGATATATTCTGAAACTTCTGAATGATTCTCAGCCCTAATCTCTGCATACATACAGTATTTTTCAAACTATAAGTCACTTTTTTCATGGTTTGGGTGGTTCTGCGACTTATACTTTGGTACAACTTATACATAAAAATTTTCACATTGACAAGCACAAGAGGCTCTAGTTTTGTGTGTCAGTATCTGCTGCTCCTGTTCCTCCTGTACCACTGTCACTTGGCTCTACTGCGCATGTCTCCTGCAGAAAGAGCCACTGTCCTGCTGCAAGTAATATTGAAATATTCAGCCAAAAATGATAAACTCAGCAGCAGAAAGAAAGTTTGGAGTGAGTGAGTGTGTTTACATGCACATCAATAACCCGGTTATTAGCCATATCCCGGTTATGTCAGTATTCGGGTTACTGCGTTTACATGCGCACTGAGAAACCGGGATACTCATATCTGCGTATATATGATCAAATGGAGTATCCCGGTTTCTTGACATAATCTTACAAATGCGCAGGCGCAAAAATTAACTTAAATCAATTTCATAAACCAGGAAAAATACAAACCGTGAGCTTCTTTAGCATAAGAAGCTAAGGAGCTACGAGATCTCCCACAATCCACTGTGCAGATTCTTCATTAAAATCTTCTGCATAAATAAACTCAACTTTACAACATATAAACCATAAACACTATAGAGCTACATCAGCCCGTTTGATAATATAATTCAGCTGTGATCACATTTGTTTACGTTTTACAGAAACGAAACTTAAGACCGTTTGGCTAATTAGCATAAACTGTTAGCGGCGATAAAAACAACTCGCTCCTTGTGCCGCTGATGCGATCAGTTTCTTTTGGACTAAATGACACGACTCTGTGGATTATGTGTGTTATTTCTGTGACAGAAGAGGCGCTAATGATGGTAAGTGTGTTCCGTGCATATAGAGTATAGGAGATAGTTCATGTTTTAGCTTTTCAGCGTCACACGAGTGCAGGTCGTACGAGTGCAGATTGTACATGTGCAGGTTTAGCGCAGCTCTTTATTTTACAGTCATTTCACTCGTTTGGTCACTTTATTTATGTTGGTCAATTTATTTATGTTGCTACTGTTGTGGTGAAAGGCTGGAAAGTGTCTTTTGGACGCATGCGCACTCAACTTTATGTTGCAGTAACCGGGGTACTGCGTATACATGCCACAAGTATCCCGGTTATTATCGGAATAAACCAGCTACAGTAACCCGGTTTCTAATAACCGGGATACTGCCATAACCGGGTTACTGAAACCGGGTTACTGCGTTCACATGCACCATCAAGAAACCGGGATACTCAAAAAACCCGATCATAACCGGGTTACTGATGTGCATGTATACGCACTCTTGAGAAACTTGTGAGCGAGAAACAGTGGCGACAAGCAGGGGTAGAGAACACAGCTTCATAACAACCAGGCAGGTCCGCTATCAGCAGGGTCCGCCATGCAACTTTCTTGGAAGTCATTTGATGGATCGACAAAGCTTGAAATTCATTGACACCGAAACATCCTGTCTGGGTTCAGAAAGGCCGAAATAATTCTAACTGGAACTGATGCTGAGTCTGACGACAGCGACACAGAAGAGGAAGCGGTGCTCTGTTTACCTCTGGAGGTCGCGGAGTTACTCAGAAGTGACACCGAGGATGAAGAATTGAATGGATTTCATGATTTGGAGTGAGATGGAGAGTTTGTTAAACTTGTTCTGTTCTGTTGTTTATGTTATAGTTTATCTGAAGAACTGTTCATATGTGACGTTAACAGTCTGTTGTTCTGTTCTATTGTTATTACTAGAACTTGACTTTCAAGATGAAATGTCGGTTCCTGGTCTTAAATAAGTTTCCCCCAAAAAGTGCGACTTATATGTTTTTTCTTTTTCATTACGCATTTTATGGCTGGTGTGACTTATACTCCGGAGCAACTTATAGTCTGAAAAATACAGTACAGACACACACATATGTATATGCACATTTTTCCCCTTTTTGTTCCTTCTTTTTTTTTCCTTTCCCTTTCACTCTTTAGAGCTCTGATTGTGTACAGAACATATAGGCCTCTTGCTTTCATACAACATCGCTCAGGGGACATCCACTAAAAGCACTATGCTGTAGTAGTTTTGTGTGTAATCCAAAGGGCAAGTGTGAACAAATGGAAATCAAATACATGTACGATGAAGCAGCTTGAATGATTATTTTATTTGGACGTTACAGCAGTGAAATGCGCACTTGCTGTATATGCCCTGTGTGTGCCCTGTGCTGTACAAGAACATTGCATAATGTTACTCCAGATTGACATACATGTTTAACTCATCAATCTTTAAGGCTCGTCTCGGCGGGATTCACAAAACAGACTTTTACTTTTATTGTTTGATTTGAGCAGGATTGGCTTTTGTTGCTTCTCATATTTTCTGTTCGTTTTTTGAAGGTTTTCCGTCGTGCCAAAGTCTCAGGCGCCATGTTGGACCTTGTGGATGCCTGTTCGATGCTTTACAGACTGGAAATGGAAGGTAAGACTTAAGATTGCAATTTACAATAAACCCAGACTATATTCGAGATAGGCAGATTGTCCAATATTTGCACTTTTTTAGCGTATCTGCCTTCAATCTCTCACATGGACCAGTTGTTTTGGTTGACTCTTGACTAAAGGAGAGATCTTTAACTAAGGGCCTTTTTACACAAGAACGCTTGTGGGTAAAAATGACAAAATATTTTATCAGAAGTGTCTTTCTGTTTAGACGGTGACGGCGTTTTTGTGGCTCAAAAACCAAAAAATCTGAAACCACCCTCCAGAGTGGAAAAGTTGAATACGCTCCACCGTAACGTTTTCGTCTACACTGCCCAAGACGCAAAACTCTGGGCAGATCTGCTCACATTGCATATGCGTTTTTACATCACATACATACAGTCCACAGAAACAAACCTGTCCGATCATTTCCATATGTTGGAGTTGCTCTGGCAGCTCTAATAAACTTACAGGAGGCTCCCAACAAATGTACAGAATCTGCAGAGATACTATTAGTGAACAGAGAAGGATCTGCGATTACTTCTGTCAAATTCTGGATGCTGCAGTTCGTTGCAGGCGAGCCAGACGACACACTTTTGCGTCACTGTATGCATGCAGATTTCCTCCTGAAAACGCTAGTCATGGAATACAAAATGAAGATGCAACGCCACTTTTGCGTCTTCAGTTTACACCGTCATCGTATAAATGTAGCCTTAATTTGAATACTTTAATCATGGAGTTATAATAAGATCTGGAAGATGAACCCAAGATGATATTGTGTTGCTTGCTATGGCCTGTGCTTGTTGATGCGAAGTCCCAAAAAAATGTTTTCTTCCACATAACTTCCTGAATACTGGTCTAGCCCCGCTCACAGTGTGACATCAGAAACGTGCAGTTCTGACCAGTCAGAGTGAGAGCTGCTTCAGCGGAGCGAGTATGGACTCAGAGGGACTTTTAGGTGCTGTGACGATTAAATATGTGGCCATACCAGCTTCTCAAAGTCTGATCCCATCAGATCTCAAAAGCTCAGCGAGTCTGGGCCTGGTTAGTTCTTGGATGGGAGACCACTGGGAAAAAAAACTGCTGTTGTGTCCTTAACCCACACAACGAGTTTTGCTGAGTAACTCCTCTTGAGAACATGCTACATTGGTCTCCAGGAAGAAGAGCTGATAGGCTAAGGTCAGTTAAATACAATCAATCAAAGAACCTGCCCGGGGACTACAGGGTAAAATTAGCACTGATGCTGCAACCTGCTACAAAGCATTTCTCCGTCTGACCTTGTAGCGTTAGGATTTGTTCACTTAATGGTAGGCGGGTACTTTTTTCATTTAACCAATTTAAAGGTTGTATAGAGGATTTTCCAAGGAACGAGAAATCCAGCGACTGTTTGTCCTTTTTCAAATGTTGCGCATGCGTGAAACCACCCCCCTCCCCTACAGCTCCTACGTAGAAACGCCTCCTCCCGCCTCCTTCTTACGCCAGAAAGTACTCATCTCTGCACATGACTTGTAAACAACTAACTACAGTGTTGGTTAAGCAAGGCGAAAAGGTGAGTAGCAGGGGGAGGGGGTGCGCGGACATTTCGTGCACGGAAAAGAAGTGAGGAGCAGCGGGAAGAGCGAAACAGGGAGCGAGGAGAGGAGTAGAGAGGGGTGCAGAGAAGGGTACGCGGAGATTCAGTGCGAATGAAGCTACTACTACAACACGCAGCAGCAAGCGGACTTTTTCTTTGCATTGAAAATTACGTTTTCAGACATAGGATATCACATTCGTGTCTTGAAAAACGTTTTTCTAGCTCTTGGAAATAAAGTACGTTTTCATAATAAGCAGAAGTTTCCTGTCCAGAAGTAATTTGGGGACCAGTGCGTCAGTCTTTAGACCCTGCGTCTGCTTCAGTCGCGCCATCGCTGGAATGAATCTTCAAGAATCACCTTAGTTTGGCTTCGCTGCTTTTCCCCTTGTCTTCTTCTTTCAGCGACCTCAAAAACTGACTTTCTTTTGCGGCGAACTGCTCCTGGATTCTTGTCGCCATTGCAACAAACTTTGTGCGAACTGCGAGGAAGATATAGGTCAAAAAAGCCGCTAAGAACTGTTGCTTTGGTGGAGTAAACAGCGTCTGTGCATCTGTGGACTGCGTGACAGGTGTACGTAAACCACGTACCGGCAGCGCGCAGGCAAGTTAGTTACGCTAGAAACGTAGGGAGTTTGATTGACAGCCTGTCAGCTCACAGATAACGAGGCAGTGTCGTTATCTATTGGCAAATGTTTAGCCCCACCACGTCCAGAGTTGATTAATTTTTATTCTCTTTTTTTTTTTTGGTCATCATAATTACAAGGCTACTGCATGTCTATAATCTATCATTGACAATTTGAAACAAAAAAAAATCCTCCATACAACCTTTAACCAATCAAGCTTTTCCCAAATCCCGTAGGAAGAAGGACAATAACGTTTTTCCCCTTGGTAAAATTCACCAAACATTCTCTTTGTTCCAGCTTTAAAGCTTTCAGGGTTCTTGCAAACCATCTAGTGTATTCTGATTCCTGACCTAGTCGCTGGAAAGAAATGAAATTGAGCGGAGGCACTTGGTGGCACCAGCCTGACTACACTGTCCCTGTCTCAATAAACAAACTAACTTACAAAAAAATAAATAAATAAACTAAGGCACTTCACCCACATTGCTTGGTATGAAAGTGTCCGATGGTGCAGATTGACAGCCGCGCTTCTGTCAGTTTGCCCCAAATAGTAGCCTCCTACAAGAGTAGCTTATCACCACCGGGTTTGGAGTGAGTGAATAATGCTCTGTAAAAAGCCTCTTTGTGACATATGTCTGTGAAAAGCGCTATATAAATAAAAACGTACTTACTTAAACTTACGTTCAGCTTGCAAACATACAGAAGAATCCCGACAAAATGCGACCTTTCTGAAAGCTGTGGACGCCCTGTGAGCCGAACACGGGCAGTTTGAATTCCCCCCAAAAATACATTGTGCTCTATGGTCAGGTCAGGTACACAAACACTAACCCTCTGTTACTCTGCGCTCTGTGGAAGAATTCTCTCAGAAAACTGTAATACGGGCCCTTTAACAACTCCTTTTAACTTTAGCTCAGTAGAGATTTGCAGTTCAGAAGTTGAAATTATCCAAATGATTCTAGTGAAGGTGTATAGAGTTTAAAAACACTGGATGTACTTAATAACTCATCCCTCGCCTTTAGCTGCTCTGTCAAACACTATGTTGTAATCACCCTTTGACAGTGGCACTTTGAGTAAATAAAACATGGCCTCACATCTCTGCGGAAACCTGAACCGAGCCACAAAACTTTATGTGTAGCTGTTGAATAATTAGCGGGGCTGCATAATTTTCGCTGATTTTCTTTGTTTAGTTTTCAGACACATGGCTAATGAGAAGCCATCATTCCCCGCAGCGCGCACCATTATTCTGACACCTGCAGTGTAGCATCTGAAATTTGTGTAATTAGACCGTTTTCAACCTGAGCTCGTGCATTTAAATGTTTAATACCTGCTGAAATGGTCGCTAAAGCATGTGTTTGGAAATGGAGAGGTTGCCAGTTTAAGCGGCCTGGGAAAGTACTGTTATTTTTGTGCATCTTAAAGGCTTTTTCTGAAGGGTACAGGTGTAGGGAGTATTATCTGTTACATCAGGGTGAGTTGTTGTACAGTTGTAGGGAGTATTATCTGTCACATAAGTGCGAGTTGTACAGTTGTAGGGAGTATTATGTGTTACATAAGGGTGAGTTGTTGTATAGTTGTAGGGAGCATTATCTGTTACATAAGGGTGAGTTGTTGCACAGTTGTAGGGAGTATTATCTGTTACATTAGGATGAGTTGTTCAGTTGTAGGGAGTATTATCTGTTACATCAGGGTGAGTTGTTATACAGTCGTAGGGAGTATTATCTGTTACATAAGAGCTGAGTTGTTGTACAGTTGTAGGGAGTATTATCTGTTACATAAGGGTTAGTTGTTATACTGTCGTAGGGAGTATTATCTGTTACATAAAGGTGAGTTATTGTACAGTTGTAGGGAGTATTATCTGTTACATGCGGTTGAGTAGTTGTACAGTTGTAGGGAGTATTATCTATTACATTAGGATGAGTTGCACAGTCGTAGGGAGTATTATCTGTTACATCAGGGTGAGTTGTTGTACAGTTGTAGGGAGTATTATCTGTTACATTAGGATGAGTTGTTCAGTTGTAGGGAGTATTATCCTTTAGATAAGGGTGAGTTGCTGTACAGTTGTAGGGATTATTATGTGTTACATAAGGGCGAGTTTTTGTACAGTCGTAGGGAGTATTATCTGTTACATCAGGGTGAGTTGTTATACAGTCGTAGGGAGTATTATCTGTTACATAAGACCTGAGTTGTTATACAGTCATAGGGAGTATTATCTGTTACATAAGAGCTGAGTTGTTGTACAGTTGTAGGGAGTATTATCTGTTACATAAGGGTTAGTTGTTATACAGTCGTAGGGAGTATTATCTGTTACATAAGACCTGAGTTGTTGTACAGTTGATAGGGAGTATTATCTGTTACATAAGGGTGAGTTGTTGTACAGTTGTAGGGAGTATTATCTGTTACATCAGGGTGAGTTGTTGTACAGTTGTAGGGAGTATTATCTGTCACGTAAGGCTGAGTTGTACAGTTGTAGGGAGTATTATCTGTTCCATAAGGGCAAGTTGTTGGACAGTCGTAGGGAGCATTCTTTACATTTCTTTGCCTTGTTTGTGCTGCATGAACAAAAGGAAACAGGAAGAAGATTACATCTGAAAGGAGCAGAGTTTATACGATTTAGACGGACGATTAATAAAAGATTAATCAAACAAAACACAACTCCAGGTCTGTTTTTAAAGACGAAACAACATTATAAAGCTCACAAAAGTCAATTTTTTCTTGTAACATTGCCCACTCCAGTCACATAAAAAGAACGGCATCCAGCGTAAGAAAAGAGACAGAAAAATTGAGCCTGTTGATAATAAATTTTTGATACGTTATTTATTTGTTATTTGTTTGTTTGAATAGAGACAGACAGCACAAATACAGATCAACAATGAAATCATCTCCGTGTTTATATCCGTGTCTAATTTACAACACCAGCCTCCAGAACGGCTTTTAACTGTTCTCATTTTCACCAAAAAACTCATTGTAAATCCTGTGTTTTGTGTTTTTCAGGTGTGCGTGTGAAAGACCGCTGGCGAGAGCTGTTCCAGGTGACTCAGCCGCACACGGACGATCACGTGACCCTGTTCAACGACGCACACTTCCTGATGGTGTCACTGGGCGTTAAAGACAATCAGACGTCCAGGAGACTTCTCGAGGGTCTGCAGGAACTGGCTCGGTGAGTTCGGCTGCGACGGGCGAGAAACATTTAGAGATCGAAAATGCGTTATGGGTTTTTCATCATGTAATGTTTTCATATAAACATGGACAAAATTGAACTTTTTTGTGACATTCAAAACAGAAAAATTCTTGTTTCTTTTGTTGACATATTAGACACTAGAAAATATACAGGATTTTTTATTTAGTATTTAAGTGAACTAGATTTGACAGAAATTCCGTCTGATTTTTTGGGGCTTAAATCTTTTATAAATCAGACTTTGGATTAGATATTTAAAAATCCTTGTATGTGTTTTCAAAATCTTGTTAAGTATCTGACTGTAAAGTTTAGTGTGTGCAGTAGGGTTGGGTGGTGATATGGTATTATGGTATCCCACAGTATCAAACAGTAGCGACCGTATCAGTTTCATTACCGTCATAAAAAAAATCTGCAGTGCATAAGGACCTAATATAATATTATAATTTATTGATACCTAAATTAGTTTGCTCAGCAAACTAATAGTATCTATAATGTTTCTTAAACTGTGTGTGGAGATGACTTTCGATTAGTTTTGTTCTGTTGTCACGTGATGCTTATAAGGGAGACCAAGACAAGGCGGCATGTCTGGTCGCAAGCGAGTTGGTCCCCCCAAAAAATACTAGTAGTAATACTAGATACTACTCATATCTGCCTCACTATTTTACAGATATTTCTGCCTCTAGACTTATTTTCTTCACTAAAGTGTTCGCTCTGCTGAGCGACATGTAAACAAACAGCTCTGTGTGATCATGTCCTCGTCTGTGGCCTGGTTCGGTTGTGCAGGTGCGATACAAGATACATATTTATAGCCTATATTTATTTTTTATTTTTTTATTTAACCAACCGCTGCTATTTGGTTGTGACATATGTAATGCGCCACTAACGGGGCTAATTGGTATATTAAGCTTTTCCTATATCCCGCTGGAAAAAGGACAATAACGTCTTTCTCCTTGAAAAATTCACCAAACATTCTTTTTGTTCCGGCTTTAAATCCTCGATCTCGAGAGTCATTGCCAACACTGAATATATGGCTCTTCGCTGATTGGCTGTTGCCCGAACTTGCACTTCGGGGGTTTTTGCAAACCGTCTGTTGTATTTTGATTCCTGACCTAGTCAATGAAGAGAAATGAAATTGAGCCGAGGCACTAGGTGACACTAGCCTGACTAGAATAAATGCATCGTGTAACTAAAAATAATCATTTGAATAATCGTGATTTCAATATTGACCAAAATAATGGTGATAATGATTTTTCCCATAATCGAGCAATTGTACTTTGAAGTTACAGTGCCCCATAAAACTCTATAGCTGCAAGTTGATTCAGTTAAATATTAAAACATCTTTCGGTGCAGAGTGGACCATTTAGTTTTAGATTTTCCATATGAAAGTGTGTATGCTACAAGACCAAACTGACTAAAAACAAAAAACTGTCTCATTACTGCAATCAAATTGAAATCACAGTTTGAATGGACACAATTCACAAATCAGTACCACAATTTCATCCACAAACAGCACAATATTCTGTCTTTTTGTGTATAAAGCCCTGTTATGTTTGCACAGCTCTACTAGTTCTGAAATGTGACTCTTGCATTACGTTTGTCAGCTCACATTCCACTCTTTTTGTCAGTTCTTCGAGTTTAAAATGCGATCTTGAAACAGAATCTCATTGCAATGCTCGTCAGAAAAACGCAATCGTACATTTTCCCCATACGGTTGATAAAGTTCGACACCCTCTCCCCTTTGCGCACCTCGGCGTCACCCGCATTACGTAAGAGCAGCTCAGACTTATGTAAAGGGAGAGGCAGGAGGACGCGGCGCAGGACGGGAAAACACAGAGACGACGGAGCGAGAATTGAGATGTGTTTGAGGGTTTCATCCGAGTGAGTCTGAGCAGGAGCAGATGTCGTAGCAGCAGCTGGATTCTTCTCTTCGGGGACCCGTGCCTCTAATGTGTTCTGTCAGCTCCGCCGCGGACAGTCTGTGCCCTACATTCAGACCAGCGCGCAGCCCACAGAAACTCGCCCGTACGCTCGCTGTTTTTTTTTTTTTAAATGACATGTTTTCGATTGCGTAACGCCGTGTTCAAAGGCTGTAGGAGTGTGGAGCGCCGCATCCTGAGGGAGAACAGCTACTTAATTATAGAAAAGCAGTTTACAGATTAGAAATGTGTTTTGTCTTTGGGTTTTGTTCACTGACAATGGCAATTACTGGGTTTCAGATGATATCACAACATCCTATAGGCTGATAATATTCAAAGGGTCCATATTTAATAGCATTTTTACAACTCTTATATAAATACACCATGAATTTTTAAGTACAGTTTAGTTAAAAAGTCATAGAAATTGCAAAAATCTAAGCTGTATTTGGTACTTTTTTGGTTTAAAGACTTAAAATGACTTGAACATCCTATAGGCCAATAATATTTAAAGGTTTCGTATTATACTATTTTCTGGTCTGTGTCAGAGGTGGGACTTGAGTCACTAGTTTTATGACTTGAGACTTGACTTGATAAAATGGACTAAGACTTGGGACTTGGCTTGGACTTGAACCCTGTGACTTGAGAAGACTTGATGTTTTTAAAAAAAAAATAACTTTTCTCTTTACAGTTGATAAATGCGGTGATTAATTTTATAGGAACAAACGGGAACATGACCCTCGCACTTGTTACTTTGAATATAACTGAAGTACTGTGAGATGGTATCCTCAAAAGTACTACGATAATCAGTGTTGAGGAGTAACAGATTACATGCACCAGAGTTACATAATCAGAGTACAAATTATGAATAATTGTATTCAGTTACAGTTACTTTTTCAGTGAGTAGTAATTGGATTACAGTTACTTTGTTGGAATAAATTAATTATTGTATAATGGGCTATATCCCCATATCCCCCCTTTTTTTTTTGTTTAGTTTTTTTTTGGTAATTCAACTCATTGCCGGAAACTAAACCAGATCTGAACTAGATCTAAACCAGGACTAAACCAGGACTAAACCAGGACTAAAACCAGGACTAAAACCAGGACTAAAACCAGCTCTAAACCAGGTCTAAACTAGATCTAAACCAGTACTAAAACAGGACTAAAACAGGATTTAACAGGACTAAATCATGCTGCGTGGATGTGTTTCCTCCTCTTCTATCAGTTATATTTTTAATATGGTTCAGTAAAGTCTGGGCTTTTTATTTTCTTTCAGCAGATAAAACATCTTATCTGAAGATTCCTCGTCTTTGCTTCTCTACAGCAAATCAAGTAATCCAAAGTATTCAGATTACATTGCTCACCTTAAGTAACTTAATGGTTTATGTTACAAACTACATTTTGGTGTATGTAATCTGTAATCTGTAGGGGATTACATTTTAAAAGTAACCTTCCCAACACTGACGATAATACACAGTACAATACAGTAAAACAGAGGGAGCTACATAAAACATGATCCTTCCATTTCAGTGCAGACGACATGACAAAATAGCTATTATTAAGTCCTCTTAAATCTGAATTCTTTCTATTCTGACTGTAATAACTGACACCAAGATCTTGTCACGACATTTAAAAAGGAAAAAACAGCATTTCTACAACTCTTATATAAATTCACCATGATTTTTGAGTACAGTTTAGTTTACAAATCATATAAATTGCAAAAATCAATGTTATATTTGGTACTTTTTGGTTTAAAGACTTGAAATGACTTGAAGCTCAAAGCAGACGACTTGGAGTTGACTTGGACTTTTGGGCCAGTGACTCGAGACTCGACTTGGACTCGACTTGGGACTTGAAACTTGCTTGAGACTCGCAAAACAACGACTTTGTCCCACCTTTGATCTATGTTATAATGTTTCCTCATCACAAACAGACCTGGAGTTGTTTTTGTTTCATTCACATGTTTAACACACAAAACTCGGCATATTTAGGCTGAGTTTTTCATTCAAACAGAAAACAGTCTGTTCCATGTAATACAGAAAATGCACTGTGTTTTTAAACTCCAAACACCTCCAAACACCTCTGTACTGTACAAAAGGTTTGAAAACTACTGCTTCATGACATCACAACGTAGAACAAAGCATTTTGAGCTTTGTAGACTAATAATACAGAGTTACTCAAATGTGTGAATAAAACAAAACACATTCCTAGTGCATTGTTTTATCTGTATTGTGCAGCACTTTGGAAATTCTTTTGTTTATAAAAGTGGATTGGATTGGACTGAAAATGCCTTTTTCTTTTAAAATAACTAAGATAAAATAAACCAGTATGTGACCCACAATGAGGAAATGACAGTGTTGCAATGCCAAGTTTAAGAACAACATGAAAATATGAAAAAAAACAGGATATAGGCAGAACCGATAATCCAGAAATTATTTAAGAATGCACCAATCCATCTTATATATCAACTGATGTAGCGGATGAACCAGTGCAGAGACTGAAAACAGCATTTATTTTCCTTGTACAAAAATAAAATAAGACAAAACTGATCCAAATGTGTTATGTAACTGTGATTTATGCAAAGCTATAACAACAGAACAGCTTTGTGTAAATAAATAGAGACTTTCTGGGCCGACTGCCACCGGTAAATAGTCTGATTACATTAATTTATACCACAGTCCGTGAGAATCCCAGTGGCCACTTTTATATGATGTTTTTTTATTTCAAATGAATTGTTCTGAATTAAATGGTTCAGAATTAAAATTTTCTCCTTCAAGTTTACATGGAAATAATAATTCTGAATTGATTTTTACATGGAAAACATGTTAAATCGTATTTATTTAATTCCGCTCAACGTCTGGGGGTGGGGAAGAGTTCTGATTGGACAGAGACGCAAACATATTTACGTCGACCAGAAGAAAACTCACACATCAGCTGCTACCGGCTTTCCTGTCATCTTGTTACGCCACAGACACAAACATCATCCAAACTTTTTAAGCAGCATCTGGAGAAATCAGGTGAGGAGGACAAGGGAGGAAGAAAACAAACTGAGTGTGAAGCTGCTCTACC